GTTAAATCCTCCAATCCCCAACCTTGCATCAGATATGCAATCTACTGTAGGTGGCAGCTGGGTCTTCATGCAAGGGGCAGAGCGTGTCATGAAGGAGCTACTGAGTTTAAGTCTTAGTCCTCATGGTAGCCATTTCACGTGGACACACGGTACTTACCGTCAGGACTAAAATATCCCACCAGTTGACAGGTTTTCAAGCCAGAAGAAAAATGAGGTACTAGGGCAAGTTGGGTAGCTTTCAGAACCAAACCACAAACACACGAATATCACGCTAACCTCATCAGCGGCACAGTGTTAAGAGTTCTAAAGTTTTGCGAAAGTTAAAAACCCAAATTAAAAAAATGGAGGATATACCAGAGGGCACAAAAGGACTGCTGGGAGACCCACAGATGAAGCTGCTCCCTTGCATAAAGCAGCGGCGGAATACCACGCTTCTGAGCTCTCAGATAGTACCCGTGCGGCCAGCATGCTCAGTTATTACAATGGCAGCCATAATGCACTTGTATACAACCTTTCCGTCAGGGGCTAACTTACTAAGCAGTCATGCTTGCCAAAGCCGCAGCCTGAACCCGGAGATCATAGAAAAGGGGAATAACAGAATCCCGTGCTTAGGAAGCTAATGCTTCTATGCGTTTCCAGCTACAAACTACCAGGCCAGATGGGTGGCAATGAACAAAAGACCACACATTTTCGCAACAGGCACGCAAAAATCGGGAGGCAGAGGCATTTTGGAAGGTGTAAGAAAGGTGAAGAGACAATCAGGGGGCGTGGGGTGGGTTGGGGAGCCGTGTTGCAATCCAAGTCCGCACGTTAAATTTATCCATAGAAGGCTTTAAAATGAAAGTCACAGAATCAGCCCTGAAAAACTGAGGCATCCGAGTCTTTCTAAATACTGACTATCAGGTCAGAACTCTCCTAAACTAACTATTTGGCGTCCTAATATAAATCGACGTTAATAAAGGGTTAATATGAAACTACGGCAAAAAGCATGCCGTTTAAACTTTTAATGACAAAAATCACCAAAGAATGCACTCGCAAAATATTATGACGATTGGCAGAAACGACAAAGTTTAAGGGAAAATTATGGCATTGCAAGTGAGTGAGGAGGGCGTTGGTTCTAGAACTAATCAAATGAAAAAGGAAATGAAATGCGTGATACCTGTCGCTGCGAGTTATACAGTAGATTCACTATCTCATGCAATGGAAGCCGAAATTCTGAAATTAGTTTTCGATTGTAACATATTAATTGCGGATGGTTGTAATAGAGATGATCATACAACCTAATCTCAACATATTTTAGACACTTCAGGATGCCGGCTTTCTAACGAGCTTCTTTCTGACCGCCAAGACAAAGCATGTACTATAAAAAGTGGCTACTTAATAAGTATGCCTTTTAGTCATTAATTTTGATTGCCTTTATAGATTCAAATATATTTTTTGGAAAACATACACGAAACAATTTTTTCTTGTTCTCCTTCGGTAGCAAATTACGCTTTCTTAAAATTTTATACCTAAAGAAATGGTATCTTTCGGTTTACAAAATTCTAATACTGAGCTTTTTTACAATTTTCATGTGTTCATTCAGCAAACAACGTATCCGCCATTTGTTAATGCTGCCTTTATTAAATAAAGCATGCTCCACATCTATTGCAACATTTTATGGGAACTATGTGAGATCTTCTTCAAGCTGTAGGCGAAAACGTAATTATTTATAAACAGGAGGTACACAGTGCGCAGTTTTTAAACCTTGAATTCCAGTGTAGCGGTCACTAGGTTTCAAAATTATAAAGCTCATAATTAGACATTTTTAAAACCAAAAGATACCCTTCCCTTCATTATAAAATTTAAAGAAGGCGTAATTTGCTACCAAAAGAGTAAAAGAAATAATTTTTTCGTGCATGTTTTCCAAAAAATATATTTGAATCTATAAGGGCAGTCGAAATTAATGACAAAAAGGTATGCTACATAAGAAGTCACTTTTTATAGTATATGCTTCGTCTTGGTGATCAGAAAGAGGTTCCTTAAAAAGCCGGCATCCTGAAGTGTCCAAAGTATCTTGAGATTAGGTTGCAGGATCATCTCTATTACAACCATCCGTAATTAATATGTTCAAATCGAAAACTCATTTCAGAATTCCGGCCTCCATTGCATGAGATAGTGAAGCTACTGTATGTTCGAATACGAGTTAGGGCAGCATAAACAGCATACTAACCTGCATTATAAGGTAGGGCAGTTTGAGGGCTAGATCCGCGATCTTCTTCAGCAGAGGCCCAAACTCGGGACGAAGTTCAAGCGCGGCCGCTAGCATATCGACGTTCCAGCTTCCGCGAGCATAGTCCCCGTTATAGCTGAGAACAGCCCTCTGAAAGTAATGCACTAGCCTAAGCGTCGGAGTTCGTGGTTCAAAGCCAACTGGCCTGTCAAAACGTTCGAAAACTGTGCCAATTGAGGCTCAAAAGAGAATATTTCTACACCAGACCTGACAAATAATTATAAAGAATCGTGTGGCTTTTTGGTTTTGACTAATATCCGAGAAAACACTTACTGCGGGAGGTTGTCGAGCTGTCGTAGGCTATGAGCAACAAGCAAGTCTTTTTGCAGGGCACTTGACACAATTAAACCCACTTCTGATATGCAACACACACCATGCAGTTTTGAAATGTTAGGAAGAACCACAACATAGCTGGTTACCAGAAGCGGTATAAAGTATTAAATATCCTAATTCCACAGTACTCTATGTGGATTAGGTTTCAGAAGGTACAAAATATACGAATCCTATTGTATCCAAAAGCTATTCAGGTAACTTATGTCATGCAAGTGAGCGAAAGACGTGAAAAGGTCACGCAACATGTCTTGGAAATAACACTGAAGTTGTAGTGGCAGCGGAAAATCGTTGCCATACTTGCGGTTCCCATATAGGTCAGTAAATATTGATGGAGGCGGAGGAAAGGGTATTAATTCAAAAGTCAGAAGATGTCTTACTATACTGTGTAGCATTCAGAATGACAGATTATGTTAAATAACGTCAAACTATTGATTCCCCTCAAGATCATTTACTTCAAATTAAGAGGTTTGTATGCCCTGAGTAGATGCGAGGTTACCAAACAAACCCCAAATTCGTACTCAATGGACAGAAGTACCTTCTAATGGACTTAGGTAACTGGTTGAAAAGTGAGTTAAAGACAGTCACTTTGAAGCTAAAGCGTTTGACAGTCAGAATACCGTGATAAGAGTCGATTTGTTCCGCTAAATTTGCATTAAAATGACATCATATACGACAAGTTACCAAGAAGTTTCAAATCCAGACCTTAACATTCGTAAGCTTTACGAGCAGCAAAGGGCAGATACTATGAAAAAGAACTCTTTAAAGACAAAGCTTGCCACAAATGCAAGCATGTTTTTGTTACCTTAAAGTCTTCAGCGGATTCTAGCGATCCAGACAGTACTTGTTGAATTATGTTCCACTGTTTAATAGGCCTTCCCTAGAAAAAAGGTAAATAAGTCGTTAATTAAACAAAAATTATTAAGCGCATGCAAACCCCAAGAATATCCAAACAAACACCCGAAAAGGGGGGCAAAAGGTTTGCTACGGAAACGTGTGGAGGCGGTTTCTTAATGTAGAGGCGTCTGAAAAAGTACAAAAATTGCCACAGAGTAAAATGCGAAACAGAGGAGAATGGAAATAGCATTTGAAAACAGGAGGATAATCAGCGCATAAACCCTTTCACTATACTGCTGTGCCTTTATGCTATAGTCCGTATGACCGTCGATTTTGATGATGCAACCATATCCCCAAGAGCAGGGACGGTGACCGTAGTCATTTATAGTGAGTGTAGACAAGCAGCACCCTACCCCACTCTAAACCCTCTCCCCACTTGAACTGGCAAAAATACAAAGTCGAGATGTCCAAGCAGGGATAGGACGAAGGTCGACGAAAACACCGCCGTGCATTCAGGACTGTCAATATACCCTGACCTAAACTGACTAGACAACGAGCTCGCGGCTCCACGGTTGGGGCATCTAATTGTGAGCAGAAAATTCGCGAGTTCGAGGCTCGGGTGGGAGATCAGTTGAATCTGGGTACTACTGGCTGATGACGGTTAATGATCCAGAAATGGTAATGCCAGTCTCCCTTGTCTTTGGCGGCAATACTTTCTGCCTTCATCTAGCTGTTACGGTTATCAGGACCTCTGTCGAGGCCCAAGGCGGAGCGGGACAGATAAATTCCGTTTGTGGTCAGGCGAGCGTTCATCAATAAATTCGCAGCTGTGTCAAAGGGCGGCAAAATACCGGCTTTAAGCTAGTAAATATGTTGTCAGTGATGGAACTAAGAACATAGGCTAAGCTCCTGATTACTTTAAAACAGCCTTTTACTATAAAGCGGTTATCCCGCAGTGACTGATGTTCTTCGGCTCAAATATTGAGCATGTCAGTATACTCTTGTACCACCAATGTACCCTGACTTATAAATTAATTCGTGATGATATTACAAAAGTGACAAGCCTGTACTCAATAACGTCTCAACAAAAAGCAGAGTAGCCTTTACCCGGCACCAGCCTTAAAAACAAACTAGACATTCAGATGGTGGCTAAACAGAAAGCAAAGTTCAGTAATTATACCTTGTGAAGATTCTGTGGTGAACAAGGCAGCTTCACATGATCTTTGTCCCACGTATCGACAGTCCCAGATACAGCAGGTCGTGGTATGCAGTCCCCAGTTTCGGAAACCTTATGAACTCGGGAAATAAAAAAAGTAAAAGTACCTCACAAAGACATGTCTCCGCTATTTCAGGTTTGCATATCTTTTCCATGTCCTCAGTCCGTTTAATTGGATGAAGATTCTTCTAAGAAATCGGCATAAAAGAAAATGCCAAATTACCTTCCATGTAAACGACTTGAGGCCATCACTCAATACCATCTCAGGTATCGAAGTTGCCATTACTTAGATCTATAACGAATAACATACGGAGAAAAATTTCAACAATAAATACTTAAAAGGCCTTACTGATTCACCAGGCCTTGAGTAAATTCAACAACAATGGTTAGCGTTGTCTTATTAAAATATGTATTCTTCGATTAGCAAGGGTATATAGAGGCGATATATTGAAGTAGCGAATTTTCGTCACTCAAACCCTCTAACAACCATAGGTTACACCGCTGACGTAATCTGGGCTTTGATTGGTTGGCCTTCTTTAATTGGGTTGCGACATCGCGCGTGTGTATTACCGCCTTTACCTCGTGATGTAGGTGTGCAAGGTGTGACAGGATTCAGCTCTCAGCTGTCGATTCTTTATCTGCTTGTCAAATGAATGCAGACGTTCGCGTTTCAGTTGCCTGCATGGACAACATTTTGAAAAAACGGATGTTCACTAATCTCAAGTCCCTGGCTGTAGGTTCGACAACAAACAGTTTCTTTATCTGCTCATCTTTGTTACTGTATGGATGTTCAGAAAGGATTCAGAAAGAACGAAAAGACATCGAAGTAAGCCATACGGGGACATCATTTAAAATGAAATCGGAGAGGTAGTTCGGAAGGGATGGAGGCCAGCACAATTATGCTCTGAACGGACACTAGAAGAAGCACGTATATCGCCGTCACTAATTATCGTATCAGGAGATAAGTGATTGGTCATACGTTTGCTTGCGTAAATTCTTTTCAGGCCTGTACACTTATATGGTAGTGAAATAAATACACTATGGTGTTTGGTGGAAAAAGGCGGTGTTATTTTTACCAGGGGCGGTGGGGGGTGGGAGAATTAATGCCAAATATGAGTGTCTAGGCAGAAAAGCGGCTAAGACAGGTGACCAGGTGCGCGTGTTAATGCGCCAAGCCTTTTTCGGCAGCGAAGAAGCAAATATTCATCAGAATCCCATTTCAAGGGGACGGACCAAGCGAAGTCCTAGGGAGGCGCCTGAGTCAAGCTGCAGCGGCCACCTTCCTGGCAGTTAACGTCCATATACTGTTCTCAAATACGCCCACCCTATCCAAAAAAACTAATGGACACATTCCCAGCGCATCTATTGGTTCACCTGCTGCTGCGGGTCGCACGAGCCGGCGTCCCTCCAAAAAGAGTAAGATAACTCGTTCTGGCATTAGTAGTGCTATTTGAGTGTACATGGTAGATTTAAACCATCGCGTGAATGCCAGGGAGGAGTTCCGAGTGATCTACAAGGTGCCCGCCGACTGTTCAAAATTACTTAGAGAG